AACTTCTTTAATCGATTGTATATAAATCAAATTATTAGATGGTAAGTATAAAATTAATTTACAAATTGAATCTTTATAGTTGAATAAAACTTCTTTAATCGATTGTATATAAATCAAATTATTAGGTGGTAAGTATAAAATTAATCTACAAATTGAATCTTTATAATTGAATAAAACTTCTTTAATCGATTGTATATAAATTAAATTATTAGAAGGTAAGTACAAAATTAATTACAAATTGAATCTTTATAATTGAATAAAACTTCTCTAATCGATTATATATAAATTAAATTATTAGAAGTAAGTATGAAATTAATTACAGATTGAATCTTTATTATTAAAAAATCTCTCTAATTGATTATGTATAACTTAAATTATTAGACGGTGAGTATAAATTAATATACAAATTGGATCTTTATAATTGAAAAAAACTTCCCTAATCGATTATATATAAATTAAATTATTAGTTCGTAAGTATAAAATTAAATTTACAAATGGAATCTTTATAATTGAATAAAATTTCTCTAATCGATTATATATAAATCAAAATTATTAGAAAGTAAGTATAAAATTAATTTACAAATTGAATCTTTATAATCGAATAGAACTTCTCTAATGATTATATATAAATTAAATTATTAGAACGTAAGTACAAATTTAATTGCAAATTAAATCTTTATTATTGAATAAATCTTCTTTAATCGATTGTATATAATTAAATTATTAGAAGGTAAGTACAAAATTAATTAAAATCTGAATCTTTATTATTGAATAAAATTTCTCTAATCGATTGTATATAAATCAAATTATTAGAAAGTAAGTATAAAATTAATTTAATAATTGAATCTTTATAATTGAATAAAACTTTTCTAACCAATTATATATAAATCGAATTATTAGATTGTAAGTATAAAATTAATTTACAAATTGAATAAAACTTCTCTGACCGATTATATATAAATTAAATTATTAGTCGGTAAGTATAAAATTAAATTTATATAAATTGAATCTTTATAATTGAATACAACTTCTTTAATTAATCATATAAAATCGAATTATTAGATATAAACAGAGTCAAAACGACACATAGTAAATGCTTATTAGAGTTATTATATTTAGTAAGAAGGTTAGATAAGGGAAATTTATTAGTGAAACGGGTAAAGAAATGAGATAAAATAGTTTTATTAAATAGATTCGTGCATATGCACAAAACAAATATATATACTCTGGCACTTCGCACATAATAAAGTTGAAGTTACATGCTTTACAATAAGACGATCCTATAAATATTACAATCGGTCTTATACAAAGTGTCCAATAACTACTCTACAGTGTTATGATTCAATAAACTTCTACACCGCCGACCCGTTATTGAGCTACTAGAAAAAGTCCTTAATCATCTATTTTGTCTTACACACGTGACTCGAACCCCGGCTTAGAACCAATGTACAGAGGTAAAATCGTGGTCTTGAAAGAATGTCTTACCAAATCTAACCGCCTCTTTCGAATAAGCAGAGTATTGGTTCGAGAACGTATTTGATCATAGATATTGTTCTGACCATTAGACCCCTTGTTATCAATAATAAATTATATGTAACTTTGTGACGACTTTTTGAAGAATTAGAACAACTTGCAATTCGATTTACTTGATATCCTTCAGACATTATGATGCGGTCTCCATCAATGTTTTCATTTGAATAATCATTGTTAACGTAGGAGAGTTATAAAATGTCGTCTTCATTCGTTGATTTTTCTGTATTTGTTATTACAGGAATTATTTCAACATTTTTTTGCTTGCTTTCTTTATGTACTGATGTTATTCCAGAGCAAATACCTTTATTATAACCTCTACCATAAAACCTTTTAATAATACTTTTAATTGATTCTAGGTCTCCATCTCTAACATAAGTTTCTAAACCGATAATCTATTACATAACTATAAAAAAAAAGTTAGTGAATATTAAAATACAGTAGTCAAATATTATATTGCTTAGTACGCGAAATTCCAAATCCTGACTAGACACTTCCAAAAAGCCAGTAACAGTGCTAACACTTGCCAAAAGGCCAGTAACTGGATCTACTCACTTGCAA